TTTTTTTGGAGGGGGGTGTTTTGTTTTTTTGTTTTTACCCAAAGTTGCATGTAAACACACCAAACCAGTATAGAAAGGTGCTAACCAGCCAAATGCTAAATGCACCTGTTAATTTATCTCTGTGATGTGGTAGGAGGAGAAGGAGAATTAATTTGAGTGAGAAGATTAGTTGACTGTGGTACATTGTAATAAGACAGTCCCCACATTTACCTAAGTAATAATAAACCATCTCTGCATGTTTCCTGTGTTCTTTATCCACAGACACTGAAAGACCTTTTCCCAAATGGTAATGCTCAATTTTTACTTGACATTAATTCTGGTGTTCATGTGAACTCTGATCTATTATACTCTTTCATCTTTTCTGTTTTTCATTTCAATGTTTACCTCTTTTCAGATACGTTTCAGAATGTTGGTAAGTTTGTTTTTTCTTCTTGGTGTTCAGTGTTTTTATTTTGTATTTATTGCTGTGCAATGTGTAGAGTTTTTGCACTGGAACTAGCAACTAAAGGCTTACGATGGTCCTGAGAAGGTGGTTGTCTGAAGTTTGTCATTTTTTTTCTTTAAATAAGGTCTAAAAGCGGGGTGTAGAAGGCTCCCCTATTTATTGGAAGCTTAAGGTAGTCTGTTCTTTCACTTTGACATGCGTTTTTGCTTTTTAAAGCCAAAGGTGTACCCCATATCATTTTTGCGGATCCAGAAAAAAAGAATTGCTTCAAACATCCCATTGTGGGTGAGTACATTTTCTCAAAGTGCACCTTGTTAGATTTGTATTGTTGATTGTCATTTATGCTTAGAAATATCTACTCATATATGCTTAGAGTTGTATAATCAATGTCATGTTGGTAGAGGTTTGATCTTTAATAGTCTGCAAAGACTTTGTGTGCATTCCAGAGTGCTTTGGCATTCACACCCACATCCTGGGAGCATGGGAGAGGTCGTACCTTCTCTTATTGTTTTGTGGAAGGATAAATGTATCTATGTCTGTTTTAGTCTAAGTGCCTTTTGTTTAGATGAACTGCTGGACTTCCAGACCAGCAGGTTTAGGGAAGTCATTTATGGACACACACACACACTTACACAACGCACAGGCAAGGTACTCTTTGTTTGTATGTAGTCGTTATATGTTAATGAACCTATGTATATTCATGTAACCTTAATAAAAGAGCAGTGTTACGGGGGAGCGGACAAACATAGGATTTATCACCTAGATGTAGATGAATGTGGAATTGTATTACATCAGCCTGTTTAAAACAAAAGAGCTTGTTTGATGTTTGAAGTAATTGTCCTGTTTTAAATTGACTTTCTTTCAGGCTTGTCTGCGCTGAGTCTGTGTTTCAGTCCAGAGTCACGGACCTCTTTTTACTTGTGTCACATCTGTGGTGAGAAGAGTTTACCTAGTGATGTTTTAAGGCACTTCTTTTCTGTGGACCATTACAGCAACTACATTGTGAGTACTGAACAACATAAAATATAAAGCAGGAATATTTAGTGTTTAATTTGTAAAATCAATTCATTTTTTTTGCTTTTTGATAAGAATTGCATGGATCCCAATGCAATGAGTTTCTCCTGGATCCCCAACAAGAAAATCAAAGAGACTGAACTCAAAAACCGAGTAAAAGAAGAAGCGTCTATGGACTTGCAGGTGTGGGGGTGTGTGTGGGTGTGTGTGGAAGTAATGTAGGAGGATTCATATACCAGATTAGAGTTGGGCGATTTTAAGTGTGGAAGTAAACGTATCATGAGTGTTACGGTTTCAGATATTGAGGAGGGATACAAAACAACACTGGTCCAGGAGGGTTGCGTCAAACAATGATTTTAATGAACGCTGTCACACAATCAACATCAATCTCCTCCTAACAATACACAAGCAGTTTTATAGCATCGGGGTATTATTACGCCCCCTCTTGCGTCAAGCAGACACAACACATGCATAAGTTTCAAAACCACAAATGTTCTGTTAACGACTTTTGACACATTTGAAAAGAACATTTTCTCCGTCCTCTTACCAGACAGAAGCCACTCTCATATGTGTAACAACCTAACTGAAACTATATACGGAATATATTGAATAAATGCTTTAATCAAATGCCACTACTCAAAGCTTAATAAATTAATTAATAGATCACATGGCAGTAACTCGGTTCATTTATGCATGTAGACATGGTCAAGATGACCTGCTGAAGTTCAAACTGAGCATCTGAATGAGGAGGAAAGATGATTTAAGTGACAGAACATATGGTGTGGTTGCTGGTGCCAGACTGGCTAGTTCAGGTGTTTTAAAGCTGCTGATCTGCTGGGATTTTCCCACATGACCGCCTCTAGGGTTTATACAGACTTGTCCAAGAGATTTGCAGTGGCAGGGGACAAGTTGATACTAACAAGATATACCTAATAAAGTGTCAGTTGCTGTATATCCAGCACATAACCCTTTTGATTTCTAGTTAAAAACAAATTTAGGGAAATTGGTTTGTTTGTCTATCAGGTGGATCACTCTGTTTTTATCTGGTATACGAAAATATCTCGAGAAATGCAGGCTGATCACAAAAGTGTTTTTATTTTTTTATAGCTACAGTTCAGTTCTACAGTTATATTCTGCATTTTCTCTCTGCAGATGCTGCATTTACCTGATCATCTTATGGAAAAGCTTAAAAGCAGCACCTACTCAGAAGGTATAAGATCTATCCATGTAGTGTTTGTGTGACAGTTTTATTTAGTTTTGCGCTGCTGAAAATGATCTGAATCTTCTTTGCAGTGATGCTCACTCTAGGTGAAAATGAGAAGCTTCTCAAGCTGATTCAAGGTTTGTGCACTTTTTTTCCTCACTGATCAATCAAGTTGTGAATTCAGTGTTTTAACATCTGCTTAATTAGGATCAAAACTGCTGCCATCTGCTGTTTTCAGAGGTGGTTTTTCTCAATACAAATCATCTTCACCACCAAGTCTGTTTTGTGGCTAGTCTGACACTCTTCATGGTATCGCACATATCATGTTTCAGCCACATTATGTGGTTTGTTTTCATGTTATGACTTAAAACTCTGTCATTTATCTTGTTGTGACACCTTTATTTACCAAATATATATCTGTTCACATTTACTCTTTATTACTGTCTTTCAGTCAGTGTTTAATCACTTGAATCTAATCATTTTCCCTCTTAGCTTTCAAGCCAGGGAAGATGACGATCCTGGCTTACCAAAAAGACAGCAACAGGAAGCATCCGCTTCTTGGTCAGTAACAACCGCCAAAATAACAAAGCCATATTTATTTTTAAATGAACTCATTCATTCATTTGCTCAAGTAAAAGAATGCTCATTTTTGGAGCACTTCAACAGCATGATTAACAATCCCTTTTTTCGTCCTTGACATACCAGCGGGGCAGAGTTTGACAAACTGGTTTCCTCTCCTCTAAACTGTCTGTGTCATCGTGATCTTACAGGCATGCAGCACCTCGTCGAGTGCGTTTGTGTCGGAGCAGATGAGAAGAAGCATTACCTCTGCACGCTCTGCGGCCTAACAGTGGGCACCCACGTGATCATCAAACACGTCCTGAGCTTTGACCACATCTTTTGGTATTTTGTAAGTAGCAGTGGCATCAAAGACCATATTAATTAAGTTAATTGCTTGAGATGAGTTGTAACTTAGAGGATTTCAAATTTTACGATGGGTGAAACTGGGGAACCCATGGCACACGCATGTTTCTGCCTGTAGAACTGACACTTGTATGTGAAGTAGGTGGAATTAAGACCGTTTCAAAAGGAAACACACTTGGTTTGTGAATGGTACTCATGGCCATTGGTCAATGGTTGTTGATCAATGGTCATGAGAATTTGCATAATTATGATGAAGAAACTGACCTCCCAGCCCATTGTTCCTTCAGTGGGCTGGTTTCAGTCATTATGCAAATGTACTGTTTATAAGATTGGGGAAACCTGCAGTCAGCTGAGACTGAAGAAGTCACTTGGATAAGTGAAGAAACGTTTCTCCCTCTGAAAACGCTACATCCAGATGAACAGAATCAGCCTTTGGTGATTTACTTACCTGGATGATTGAGCATGCATCAAGAAATTGAATTTGTGATACCACTGGAAAAAACAAAGATCCATCTGCGAGGTGGGTGATGACAGTATTTATTTATTTACAATTTTACGTCAAGCAAATACGCTTCTTTGATTCAGCTCCTGGACCTAATTGTGGTACGCTTGAACATCACTGCTAGACTCTTTCAATCAGTCAGCAAAATTATCAATAGATATAAATTTATTAATAAAAGAAATTAAGCACACTTTTTCCACCTCAGAAGTCTTAGGGTTCAATATTGAGGAGGGATAGAGGAGGTAATCAGCTTCCTAAATAACAACACTGATCCGGCCGGGTGGAGTCAAACGATGATTTTAATGACACGCGTGGGAAGACCGCCACTGTACGCAGACAGCGCCGATCCCCGACTTACAGAGCATAAGCAGGTGTTTTATACCTTTCAGGGCTTAAATTTACTGACGCCCTTAAACGTCACTCAGATACAGTTCATACATAGGTTTCAAAACCACAATGACTTAACACAGTTTAAAAATAACATTGTCTCCATCTCCACAGCAGATGCTTCCTGTCAACATTCTGACTTTCACTTCCCGTCTGGAAAACCAAACTGTTCCTCTTTTTGCAGAGACAATTTTAGAGTTGCAAGCAAACATGATTAACCTCTCACCTATAAATGAGTCTATCTAATGTGTGAGTGCATGTGGCTCGACCTCACACGAACTTGTAACCTTTTCCACCAGACAGAAGGCCAGCACGTACACATTTCAGATTATAACAAGCATTCAAAAGCATTTAAGATTATAGATTCAACTCAACAGTTTAGAATGGTTATAACTGCACCTGTAATAAAGGCTAATTGGGTACCAATATGTTTAAACATCTGAATACAATATCAATACTGCAAATTGTATTTTTAATACAATGGTAATGATGATGATTATTAACAATAGCAGTAAAATAATTTCTAATCCCTCACAGAAGTCAATAATATCCTCTTCATCAGAAAGATCTTCTTGCGACTGTTTCGCAGTAGTGTCAATCACTTTGGCACCAGTTTGCTTGAGATTGAAATCTAGGCTTTGATTTCAGATTTTATGTTTGGTTCACTCCCTCCACCCACCCAAGTCACTCTGTGTCCCTCTGTGACATCACTTCAAACAACTTCCTGTTTTATTTTGTAAATTCCTTACCCTTTGTGTCTACATATGGTTACTCCTGCTTTTGTATCTTTCACACATGTGGTTGATTATCCAATCAGTCCCCCCTGTGTATAAGTTTCTTGATTTGCGCAGCTCATTTGCTAGATTGTCTGTGTATGATTCAGTACTCAAACTTTCCAGTCATTCCTGGTTCAGATTTTTTTTTTCTTGTGTGTTCCTGTTTGGTGTTGGTTTTCTTTGGGGATTACTTGTTTTTACTTGTTCTTGTGTTTTTTCCCTTTTGGCTTTCTTGCTATGTTTTACTTGACCAAGTGGTTTTTGTATCAGCTTTCTGAAAGAGAAGCTCGCTTTTCGTTTGTTAAGTTCCTTTTGGAATTGCATGTGGATCGTCTGTTTGAACTGAGCTGGTCACAGAACAATTTGGCATACAATGGATACAGCGGACGGTAGATTGCTCCTGCATAGAGCTACGAAGGTGCTGTCTTCAAGGAGAAGTCTCCTCTCCAGCATTAACATCCCTGAAGAGATTCAACGCAAACTGAAGCCCACTGTATTGGTAATTTTTTTTTTTTTTTTTCTTTCTTTCTTTTCTAAGTTCAGGTTTTTAGAATACCCGCATGTGACAGATGGATGCCTTTTGTGCTCATTTTGGAATATTCCAGTGACTTTTGAAGCCAACGATGGTCTCCTTTCCAGTCAAGCCCCAAGCCTCCAGTGTGTTGGTTCCAGCCTGCTAGCTTCCTTTTTATCAGCTTGCAAAGAACCTTTCAGCTTCCCTTCATAATTCCCAGGAATCCCCTATATGGGGAATGCTTCCACTACTATTTGTATCAAACCTTCCAAAAAGATTCTGTCCCTTTGGATCTCAACTCTCTCATCTCTTCCTAAATCCTCCCTTCCTTTGTGTCCCTTCCAACTTTCACCTGTCCTCAGCATCGTTGGAGCAAAACTGACGGCAGGTGTCGTCTCACATGGCCAGCCGCCTTCTGGCTCCAGAGGGTGATATGGTCCGTGACCTCCGTTTAGAGGAGCATCTTCAGACAGATTTCAAGCATTTGCCTGTCCTGTGTCCAGAGGATTCGTCTTTGCCTTCCAGCTCTGCCTCTCAGCCCAGCTGCACTCTACTCACCAGACCGTTCCACAAGAGTCTCTTATCTTTGAGACACATCTTAGAGCGTTTACATCTGCCACATGCCAGCCCTGAGGCAGAGGCAGTCCATTAGTATTTTTTACCACGTTTTCAGTTTTATAGTTCATGAGGTTCCTCTGCTTTAAATGACTTACTCTGTCTTTGATTTGTCTATGTTTGCCTACGTTCACTGGTAAACTATAGTCTATACTTAAAGTGTACTTTATGCTTTTTAAAACGAAGGCTTTTCCCAGCATACTTCCTTTACAAATCAAATGTGCAGTTGTCTCTTTCTGATGTAGATACAAGGACTGAGTTGCTTTTAGCAATGAAATTTGGAGGTGTGGCAGCCAGTTGATGAAAAGTGGGTTAAAAGCCTCCGGCCAATCTGAATGACTTCGCTGTCAGTAGAAAGATTTACAAGACAGAGTGGTGGGGAAGTGAGTGCTGCGTAACAAGAAGTTCATTGGTTTGAATCTCTGGTTGGCTGGGTGGTAGGGAGTTTGCTTTTTTCTGTGCCTGCGTGCACTGTCCAACGACATGCTGGTTTGGTTATTTATTGTTTTGACAGTTTGAGTATATCAGCTTTGTGCTGGGCTCATGACCTGCTAGTGACAGCTTCTTTTTTGTTTTTTTTAACCTCCCTAGCTTCTCCCTTAATGTATCTGGGAGCTCTTGTTGTGGTGGTTGTGGTCTTCCTGTCCTCAGAGGTGTGTGTGTGTGTGTG